AAGTAGTGAGCAACGTATGCTAATGAAATATAAAATAAGCTGCGGCGATATTTAATGGTAGATCAGCTATTTAGACTCAAGCTGGGTTTTAAAGGTCAACGGTTATTGAGGCTAACGGAGAAGGATAGGTCTGGGATTCACTCTCAGAGGAGACGACCGGAACGATGAGCAAAACATTTCGATAAACAATTCAACTGGTCTTTGGCTACTACTCTATTGCTCGCTATGCTGAATGAAACAGCTCTTGTCCAAAGTTAAGAAGGCTTTAGGTAATCTAAACGAAAAACGACAGCATGGCCATATTTAGTACCAGGAACATTTATAGACGGTGATCGTGGATTATTTGTCAGATAAGCTAAATTATTAGCTGGTATTTGGGAATTATATGTGATCTCTTTTGACTGATCCCAATCATTAATTGTTCCTTTCTTCAAGAGAGGAGAGAAATCATCTTATGATAACCACGGGGGAGCCAGCCTGACAAATATAGCGTCTAGTATTCGAGGTTCTGGGTCACTCACAACTTTTTTGAAAGTTCCAGACTTAAATTTGGTTGACTTAAATCCAAGTAGAAGACTTTCATTACCGACATCGAGGGACCATAGGGAAATGCGCTAATCTTATCCAAATCTCTTTTTTTTAACAAAAAGACACCATCAACATGGACTCCTGATCACCGGCGGCAAACAGGTGAGTTGTGTATATTGACGGTAACTATCGAGGGTGTTCAATCTTTTCATAGACGTACTTTTGGAGTTCTCACTCTCCTTAATTTGCTTTAAAAGAATTAACCTAATAACAGAAAACGTGTTGATAGACGTAGAGTATCCACTTGACATAGTCCTGTTAGATGAGGACACTAAAAAGATGCAGAGTCTTTTGTAAACTTTAATTAACAGTTTGAAAGTGTTGGAGATGCGTTTTTCACCATCACAATACAAGTTGTTGTTCCAGGTCGGCTGTTCGTTGGTACTCTGTGTGATATTAGAGAATGAATGGGTTGAGCGTGTTGACCACTTCATTTACCTGAAGAGTGAGATTAGCTCTGATAAGTCAGTAATTGCACGGGTACAGTACGCTCACTTGGTCTTTGCCAACTTAAGCCATTTTTTGCAATATCGTGATATCTGACTGCCTATGAACTATCAAATTTATTGAACTGCAATTCGCTCTATTCTACTGTGTGGCTGTTAAATATAGGCGTTTAAGGTAGAGTACATGAGGAGGCTTTAAATGTTTCATCACTTTTTGTGTTGTTATCTCACCATGCTGGGGTTTTGGCTGTTTGGTTTTAGGCAGTTGACATTCAACCAGTGGGTCTCAAGTTCAAACATCACTCGTGGTTTCACTAGCCCTCCCACAATAAGTGTATTTCATTACCTACTGCACGGATGTGCACAAGGTTGCTGAGAACACTTCCTCGATGCCACCATGTTGGGAATGCAGAGGTTCGATAGAAGAGTTAAGCCATTTGATGAGGTTGTAAGTAGTCTTCGACTTAAATCTCTGAGACACGTGTCCTGCTTGGCTAGTCAACGTCTATCCTGTTGCATAACATTGTCCGAAGCAGGTGAGACTGGAAAAAGGCCAAAAGTGACCAGACTAAAACTTGACATCAGTTCATGAAGTTTTTGACTGTTGTTCTGAGCTATATAGGAGAACATAGACTTTCCGGTCGCGGGGCTTTGTGACAATAGGAATCAGTAATTGGAGGTTAGGTGACACTGGTCGAAGTTCAAGTGGAGTAGATATACCCCTTCCATGAATTTGAAAACCATAAAAACCCCTCCCGTACCATAACATAAAGTCTTTTATTTTCATTGGATCTTGTTGTAGTGTATGTATTCTGTATAAATGAGTAACTAAAATGGTTTATTTAAATGATATCTCCTAGCATGCTAGTTAACATTAGAAAGATAAGGAAAAAAACGTCGATTCTGAAAACAAGGAAAATAAAATAATGAAATTTAGTCTAATTACAAAAGATTTCGATCTACTTGTTCTAAAGGAGTACACACAACCATTTTCAAATCATGACCCCACATTATCTAAGTTTATATTAGTACTAAAAGAAAACATGTTGACTCCCTGTTTCTTCCTCACTACGTTTTCTCTCTCTCCCTCTCTCTCTTCGTTTTTACTAAGCACTCGTGTTACAGTTTACTGTCGTTATCAGTATTCTTGCTTACAACTTTTCAAGTCGTTAAAAATTTCTATCATAATTAAAAAACCATTTAAGTAAAAACGAATGTTCTTTTCGATAACTTCTTTAGCTCCTACAATTATATGTATATGTTGAGGAATTATGCGTCAACAATATTAAGATGTTGCTTATCAGTTCGTTAATAAAACCATACAGGTAAGGAAGTCAGTTCAGAGAAGTCTTAGGGGGACTTTTATGATAGAATAGGTTGTTACTAGGATTTAATTCAAAGTAACTGACTATCTAAACGACTGATTATACAGCGTAGGTGATAGCCTAGTAAAACAAAAGAGAGCTGTTAATGACAGTTGGATGAAATAACCTAAGAAAGATAATGTGAGGAATAATACCCTGATAGAATGTTACTCATATTCGGGGACATAATAGGTTAAAAGGATGCATTAAAATTATTTCAGGTTATAGGAATGGAGGGATATTTACAAAGTAGAAATAGAAAATTGGAATACCTGAGGTTGGATGCTAAGGAATTTGTGCATCCTAAGTCGGGCCTGGTAGTTGCGTAGCGGCAATACTTGCTTTTTTTTAACAGAATTCAGGTTGTGTTGAGCCTGATCGCCACTGCTTCTGCAATCTGAAGGATTTGAAACCGGGTACCTTTTGGCAAGTTGATGGAAACACGATACAGAATAGAAAATGACTCATTCGTATCCACCTTATCATTCATCTCAACCAAATGTGTTAATGTGGGGCTGGTAATGGTCTTTTCAACACCTTTACTTAGCCATGCTGAAAGGTGTTCGCAAGCACAAAGTATAGTCGTCTAGATAATCAGTAACTATTGATTCCATCATTAACGTTCATACAAGGCTCTTCTAAATAGACTTCCTCAATTGTATAATATTAAAAAATCAGTAAGCGAAATGTCAATATTCCATTTTAGTTACTTTATTAGAAATGTCACACAGGGAAACAGTATTAGTTACTGGATAACGAAATTTTGGACATAATTTATTGTTCATATTCAGATCATGGTATGAATATAGACAATAAATTGTGTCCGAAATGTTATCCAGTAAATGATACTGTCTCACTGTATGACATTTCTAATTTTATTAGTATTATTATTTGTCCCTTGGATTTCTAGTGGAACATAAGGCTTCGGTAGCACGTCTCCATTGCACTCCGTTCTCTCTAGTCTTTTGAACCTGGTTCCACCACTGCCCATAAACTTTCATTTCCTCCTCATACCATCTACGCCATATCACCCTCGCCTCGGACACCCAACTCGTCGTTTCCTGTTTGGGTTCCACTCGAGGCTTCGGTCAGGCCTGGTGAGCGATGTCCCCGAACGGGAACACCTTCTCAGTTTGTGTCCAATCTAAACCATCTCCACTTTCTTCTGCATATTTGTTGGGTGATGGGTTGTTGGTTAGTTTGTTAGCAAGCAGAGTTCCTCCTTGCTTATTCTTATTATTCTGGCCATCTGATCTTCAGTGTCAGTATCGAGTGAGCATAGGCGGCAGCTGTTGATGAATGTCTGTAGTTATGACATTTCTAATAAACTAATTAAAAAGAAATTACAAACCACTACAATACCCATGTTTTGTTTCTATGTTGATGAAATCTCAATATTGTTGACGCATAATTCCTCAATATGTACATATAACTGCAGGAGTTAAAGAGGAAGTTATCGTAAAGAATATTCTTTGTTCATTTCGAATATTTTTGTTATTGTCAGTTTTTTTTGTTGTGAATGATTCTTTCTGTTTACTTTTTCATATGGTTTTCATTTTTCTGAGTATACTTCCACCTACTTACTGTATCATCTATTCCTAATTAAGAATAAACACACACTCACTCACACACACACACACACAATTCTCTGTGTGTTCCTGTTGTATGCTTTAGTTGTGATTAACATTTAAACTGACTCCATTGGGTACAGTATCTACTAATAATCCTGATCGTTACAATAATGAATTTTATGCATTATTTGAACTGGCTATTTTATAAAATAGCACTCATAAATTTGTGGTTGTGGAGCTCTACAAGGTATAAGAAGTGCTATGTTGTACTTTTCGGCAAATACATGACAACAAATAGGTTGATTATTTGTAATGTTTTATTTACTGGTTATTTAATGATATCGAATGCTACTGTAAATAAATATGTATATACGCTCACCGACATCTTCAAATAAGGCTGATACATACATCCAAACGCGATTGAATAGACTCTTGAAAATACAATAGGATAAAAAAAGATCAGGACGAAACTTGCTACACATTTTTTCAAACTCATACTCATTACTTCATTTCTAAATGACCATAACACATTGGCTATTTCAATAAGAAACGTCTGGTGCACGTTTCGCTCTCGATTACAAAATAACAAGCACTGATTTATAATAGTGTAGCTTTAGAATAAAGTTGTTGAAAACTATCTTTCATTGAAAAAACACCTTTTATTTTCATGGATTGACAAACAATCAATAGTATACTCCACCCTATAAGTTTTAGCCAGCTGAATAGTAGCATGTGTATGCCTCAGCAACCGAAATAAACTCATTGTTTGGATATTGCTCATCGATTTAAACATTCAGCTTCTAAGCAGTGGGTCATCCACTGTTGTTTAAGCAGTTGGATTGTACAAAGTATGATGTATGAATCTGCACGTGGTTGCCAGTGTTATACTACTATCATTTCACAGCCTTGTAAATTAACCCATCTGTTGATTTTCAGCTTATGTTTTAGCTACCATGCTATTCTTTTATGTATGATGCCTATTATTAAATTGATGAGTATATTTCTCATGTATATTCTTATCATGTTTTTAGATTACTTCTTCTCCAGTATCAAACAACCAGAAATTATCACCTGAAAAGAAATCATTGTACAGTGGTAATCATAAATTGTTGAAAAAGACCCAATGTAGTGTTTATTCGTGTAAAGATTGTCGTCGAAATTCGTAACATCATTTAAACCTGACTATTGTTATCACAATTCATATTTCTCGTCATCATGTGAACCACGACAGAATTTATGTGTACAATGTTATGTAAATGCAAATAATATTACTACTACCATTACTACTGCTACCAGTGCCTCTATTGTTACTCCAAGTAATGTTCCTACATATTTGTATGATCATCGGCTCTGTTGTATTTATTCAGACTCAGATTATTTATGTAGTGACCCATTGTTGCTGTTGTCATCTTCAAATTATCATACACTGGTAAATCGAAACAAATTAAACTGTTGTAATCAGCACAGATACAATGGACACCAGACTCAACAACACCAGCACCTACACCAATCAGATATTCTCTGTCGTCCGTATAGGATATCCACAACGACAACTTCATCTAGTCCATGTTACAGAAAAGTATTATTTCACTGTAAAGAGGCACAGAGTAAGTTCGTTTACCATCCGTCTGCATATACTCCAACAAAATCATCATTGAACACATTGAATAGGAATAATGATCAAACTACCATTGTTGTCACCGAAGACCAATATTCATCAAAATTAAAGTTATCAACAAAGAAGTTTAGGAATGTTGACTTTCAGACTAAAATATTCTCTCCTTTATTACTAACACTACCTTGTCACAGTACTGTTAACCATAGTATGTCTTCATCTTTTGCATGGAAATCCAATCCATCATCAGATTCTGCTTCATACTATTCGTCTTCATCATCGCCTTCTTCTTCGACCAGTTTCTCACGTACTAATTCATCTCCATTATCGGTGGCAAGTAATTGATTTATGGTATCGAATCCGTCTGGATCTTATATATCTAATGGTTATATGCATGTAACATTTCCACAGTGTTGGTGATCTCCCGGTTTTCTTCTTTCCTCATGTTTGTTTGATATTTGTGCATATTTCTCTTTAAAATTCTACCGATCCTTCTTTCAATATTTTGACGATGCCTTCATCTTACTGCCATCTACTTTGGTAGTAACCGTTTCTCATTGCTTTGCTTTTATTTTCAAAATATTCATGAACAATTTTTGTTTTTCAATTTGCAGTTCTGTTACTGTGCCACACAGCAGTTTTTTGTGAATTATTTTCGTCTTAAAATGTAACCTTGGAAGTCATTTAGAAGGTTGTTTTCAATTTTTGTAGCGTATTTCAAATATTTCCTTCTATTATTAACTTTATGATTATTTGTTATACTGGATGTTACAAATTAATAAATTCTTCTTGACTACAATTTCCAATTGACTCGTATTGTGCTGTCAAATCTTATGAACACTGACCAATCAAAGCTGTGCTTGAGATAGACAAATCATCTGTTCAGATCGATTTGATTGGCTTATGGTTTCAAATTTTCTATTAGACACATATTCTAGGAAGAAATTACTTAAAAGCCAATCGTAACTCCCTACCGGTTGGACAGCAAACGGAACACTTTTATCATTTTTACCCGTGTGCAATAAATGAATAACAAAAGCATTTAAAAGTTCCGATGTAGGATTTTATTTCTGTTTCGAAGTTTAATTTATTTTTCATCCAGTTATTTATGTATTACACGATGTAATTAAAGATAATTCATTTTCTCTCTACACACAAGAAAAATAATTGAATTTTCTCTTTTTCCCCAAGTCTAAAATTTATCTTCACACCGCTAATGTTGAGTTATAAAAAGTGAGGAAAAATGATGATGATGATGTTTACCATGTTTCTTTCTTTCTTTGTCTCTCTCTGTTGTTCAGCTGCCTGTTCTTCCTGAATTCGCTGCCTTATAAATTACAGTACAATACAAATTTAATTTCGTATGTTATCGAGTTGTTTTTTTAAAAAGAAAAATATGTTTACGAATAAAATATATACATCAAAGACTTCTTTATTCAACATTCAGTCCTTTCCTCATTTCCGAAAGGAAGTTGTCTTGTTCTTAAAACTGTATTTCTGAGACAAGATAATATGTAGTGATGATATGATGGTAAAGTACACTGATCCGTCCTGCATGTTGACCGAATTCTATCAATGGAACTGTGGAGGTGTGACTCACTGTTTTGAGGAGATAGCTTTTAATCAATGGGCCACGGGTTCGAATCCCGCTCCACCTACCGAGGTTTGGGAAACCAGATAATATCATTAGCTCTTACACAATGAATGTGGCTCATTTCCTACTGCACGAATGTGCACAGGGTTGCTGAGCGTATTTTGATTTGATCATTAAAATTTGCATTGCGATCATTGTCAGAGGAAATCGATCATCATGGTACACTTCGGTGTTAAATCGTTGCAAACAGTTGCATATCTTTCCCAGTGACAGAGTCTAACATTGCCTAAGAAACAAGTTTGGAATTTGTTATCAAGCAATGGTTACCTGATATCTAGCCATGGACTGTGGTACTTTGCATACTCTTTCATTGAAAACTTATGTGATTTCCACAGGAAAAATTCTATCCTTTCTTGAAAATTAAAATAATCAGTTTTGGAGGTGAATGTGAAAGTAACCTAGTGTTTTATCAGTTGGGAATGTGAATCTCAAATAAGGATCTTGAGAGCTGATCCACCTAATTGGCAACACTATTGTACAACTCAATTCAAGAGCTTTTGGTTGACCTTCCACTCGCTTCTGTATGTCCTATATTTCGAAAATACCTGAAGCTGAGTGAAATTCATTGTTATACATTATTACATATTTTGTTGTTTCATTTTTATGAATTATGGTACGTCGTGGTCAGGTAATTTGGTTATATATACAGATGAGTGAGATCCTCTAATTCATACGGACAATAAACCGGAGTCTTTGTGTTAGGACAGAATTGTGTAACTCATCGTATGAGTGAATTGGGTATATGAGACTGGTTATATATTTGTATATTTACTTATATGTACGTATGTGTTCTACCAGTCGGACACTATCCAATCAATGATCTTTATGTTGGGTCTTGTTTGTAACTCATATCTGGAGACCCTGGAAACTGGACATTAAATGTCGATATAATATAAAGGTGAATCCGTACTATCTTGCAAATAGGAAAGTACATGTGAAATGGTAAACCACATTTAACTTCTTTAGGCATATTGCATAAGCATAAAACATACTCATAGCTCAAGATGGTAGAGTTTCTGACTACTGGAGTCTCATATTTAACTTAATACTTGGTTTAAATGTCGTTCTAAGAGGTATAAGATGCTGTTGTTGTTTGTTTGGCCGGGAATGATATGAAGTAGAATCTTCGCTGTTGGTATTCGATGGTATGGTGGCAAAGGAAAAGAGTATTTCTGATTACGAGGAGGGTTTTATTTTCCGTTATGTATTTACTTTCTCCCGATAATTCATTTTTGCCTACATGTGAAATTCATTTTATGTTGAAGTATCTAGAAGCAGAAGCGAAATAATGCTGAGTACTGGAGTAAAAACATGAGCACTGTATTAGAAGTTAGTTCCCTTTGAATTGGTTGATTAGATATGTTACGCAGTGAAATAGTATTGTATAGTGTTATTTATTGGATATCTTTTCAGAAGCAATTCGTTGTCCACAGTCACATAACGTCGCAACTTTGAGATGCGGTTTATATAGTTTAGAATTTTCTACGTATCTGGGACATATGTTGAATCAGTTCTGTTGTATGCATTCTGTGTTGGTTCGATAAACGAGTGACTTTAAGGGCCACCCTAGAAATTACTAAAGTAACCAATAAGGTTTCGATATTTCTGCCGAGAAAGTAATTTTCCATAGAATAAAAGTACCTGGTTTTCTCCTCCTTTAAAGGCCGCTGTAACAACTCCATTCCATGGATAATAGTAATAGTGAAACTGGGTTACCATATAAAGAAGTCGCGTTTGAGATGTTGCAGAGACTTCTTAACAAGAGTGGTATTTAAGCTTACAATGAATTCTGTAGGTTGAATGATCCTATTGGTCGGTGTTCGTTCACACCAAAATCCAGTTAATCTATTGCTCAAAGGTGACTAGCTTCGAGAGATGATTCCTGAAGTTCCAGTGAGAATTTGTAACCGGTGAGACCAACGAGGTTGGACATCAAGACAGTTGGTCTATCGCGGCATCGGATGGGTGTCGCGCCATATCATGAACTGACAGAAGTAGGAGACATGGATCATCGGATTCCGAGCCAATTGCTCAATGGTAACGTGCTGGTTGCGGAAGATGAAGGTCCTGGATCCAACCCGTAGTGTAATTATGGGTGCGCACTGCTGATTGGTCCCATACTAGGTCGAAACAGCTGTCCAGTGCCCCTAGGTTTCCAGTGTTCCTCCAACTGATGTCAATCCATGACAAATACCAATCCAACTCCTTGTTTGTCGTATCAACACAAAATGCATAGAATAGGAATTATTCAAAGCCTCTTTCAGACATATAGGGAATTCTACTTCTGATTTCACAAAAGAGGAGAGAGAATTAGAACTACATAAATCATGTCTCAAAGTTCCCTCTATTTGAACATACGCGACAGAATGCGTCATAAATGTTTCCTAAAAAATAATTCTGTAATAATGATGGATAGTGGCTAGCAGTGGAATCCAAGATGCGCATCTCATCCTATTTGAGACTCATCAGCTGAATGTACCTGCCTCCCAATGAGTGATGTTGTCCCCATCAGGATTCTGACACGAGAGCGATCGCTTTAAACACCAGAGAATTATACACTAGACCACCGAGTCACGATAGACACTTCTTGTGTGACGGGTATAACTTTAGTATAACTATTTGTGTTATACCGTCGTTGATTGGACCGGATTGATCGTTCTCTATTGGCATATAGGCTCCTGTGCGTATGCCTCGACATTACCTGTGTTTTAATTGTAGTAATGATGGGTAACGCTCTGGCGTTTGAATCAATCGCTCTCGAATCTGAATCCTGATGGGAACAACATCACTCATTGGGAGGCAGGTGCATTCAGCTGACGAGTCCCAAATAGGATGAGGAACGCATCCCGGATTCAACTGTTAGCCACTATCCATCATTACAACAATTAAAACACAAGTAACAGCGAGGCATTCGCACAGGAATCCACATGTCAATAGAGACCGATCAATTCGATCCAATCAACGGCGGTATAATACAAGCAATTATAATAATTCTCTAAGATAAAATGGAATAAACTAGTGCTGGATTGCGACAGAATCCAACGGAATCTGCTGACAGCTAATTAGACTGTCTTTTCGACTTTTTAAAGTATGGGTTCATTCATTTAACAGTTATATAGGCAGCAACAGATGCATAATACACCTTGAAATTCACTTTTATGAATAATTTTTCCTAAACCCTCCCCCCCTGAGTGAAATGGCAGTTCATGATGAATAACAACTTCAAAAATCGCTAAGTCTCCACAAACTCCCAAATGAAATAGAATTTTGAAAAATACAACGAGAAAACTGGTATTTTTTGATCTCACCTTTTTCAAAAATTTTTCGATTGTTCGCAAAGTTTCAAATTTAGCTTTGGAATGTTTTGTTATGATATTCTTAGAAGGTAATAATGTTTTCTTCGTCAGACAACTGTTTCCATGGATACACAGGATATTGTATAGTTAATTTATCGGTTAGTGTTGTACACAAAGGTCAAATAGCCGAAATCATACGGTTGGCTATCTGCGATAGAGTTCTGCTGCATATATAGTGAGGTGATTCCGTTTTGCGGATCTACCTGCTGTTTTTTCTGGTAACTTTGACTGAACAGTCCTGTACCTGAACATTTTGAATGTAATTTTTGTGATGAAGTAATAAATGAAGCCTATATGTCTATCAGTCCTTCGATAGCGTCGACCGAGAAGTAATT